TGAGCATACGTACATACATACATCTCATACTGTGTTTAATAACATATCGTATGTTCACTCACTTGTTTATCATATAACATTCATATTTAGCTTTTGACATTTTCAACCTACGATGGGTTCATTGGAACATAACCCTATTGTAAGTTGAGGAGCATCTGTGTGTGTGTGCATACAGTATATATACATTTTTTGTTGTTGTTGCTAACTTCATGTAGTAATGCTTATTTCATACCCTAAAGGGTTGCCCTCCTTGTTTTCTTCTTTAACGATAAGAGGTAAGAACAAAAGCTCTACTATATAGCAAGATGTTTTCCTTAATGCAGATCCATGAAAGTCTTAAATTGTCTTTTTTTAAACAATACAACCGTCTTAGTTAAGATTAATTTATTTTATTCTTCAGCTGGTCCATTTCCCTGTCCCATGTCAATTCTGATGGAAACATACCGCTCTGTCCAGTGTAAGTATTTAAACATTTACAGTAATTCCATTGGACAATGAGTTAATCATGTATTAAGAGTCACTAAACATCCTCCGTCACGAAATCCTACAAATATAAACACAAAAGCAGAAATACATTTTTGTCTGTTATGAAAGGTTTGTGTTTCTGTCCTCGTTATCATCATCATCATCATCATATACACCTCTGTCCTTCAGGCAGGGGAAGGTCCTGTTCAGGGATAGGAACTGTGACCTTGACTCTCCAAAGGGGTGAGATTACCGCTTTACACCATGCAACAATACAATTATTAATACCTTTTTTCATGGCTAATGCGGAAAAACTACTTCCAAAATGCATTCTCAATATAATCTAGTGACACCCTGGAATTGTTGGAAATGTACAAACCTCTTCTATTCCTTATACAGTAGATAGCAGATCTGATGAGTGCTTCCATTTATTTTTGTTTAGTGTTCATTTTTACTTGAGTGTTATTCAGTGTATCATTTAGTATTGAAATGTGATTGCTTTTCAGTCTAACACTGATGAGTTGTTAACCAATATTTAAAAACAAAATTAACAAGCACTAAAACAAACATATATGAACTTTTAAAAAGTAATTACATCATTCTGTATTTTCAGGTTACTTTACAAACAACCGGGTATAACACTGGGGTAAGAAAAAACCGTGGATCAGAACAAACGTGAAATCCTGACTTCCAAGGAAGAGTCTTTCTTTACATATTAAAAGACATTTGGTGAATGTCTGTGTTACAGTGCCAAGCTGCCAAATTATTGCACAGTAAAATAAAAATAATAGTTAGGAAATTACAGGTTTGAAAGTCTGATTCACTCAAGTAAAGGTCAATGGAAAGACAAAATTGAACAAAGGTCAGTGTATTAAAACAAAACTGCTTTTTAAACATAGTTTTATAGTTTTTCTTAAT